TTTTTAACCCATTATGAATTTTTATGAATTTTTTTATAGAAATAAAAACAATTAAAATATTATATAGTTAAATCAGAAAAATAATATTTATGTTAGTTACCTCATAAAAACTGCAAATAATATTGTGAACATTTACATAACTACATGATTGATAATTATATTTTATTAATGTCATCGTTTTATTTCTCAGAAAAGTTTATACTCGCCGAACTTTATACAGTATTAACTTAATATCAAATAGAATATTATTATTTTTAACTTATACTATAAATTTCAATATATATACACTTGGTGTGTACAAGTGGCGTCATCAGTCGATAATTTTCATTTTTTTGTGATACTAATACTCTATATTGATAAAATAAATATTTTTAAAGATTCTTTTTATTATTTTATTTTTGCATGGTTGTGTATATCTTTAAATTTTTAAATTGAGATTTCTATAATATTTATAACTTTTTTTTTCCAATTTATATATCTTTTCTCTTATCATTCGTCTTGTTAATTATTTTAATTGATATTTTTATTATGTATGTGTTATTTGTTTCTTCTAAAGCTTCTATATTTCATCTTAAATTTTGTTTTTTAATTAGTATGGATATTATTAGAAATTTTACTTTTTATTATTTGATTAGAAAACTTGACAACTACTTTCCACTTTAAATCATATTTTTCTTAAATTTTTTTTTTGTCAACAATCACCATTATATTAATTTAAGTTGTTACCGATTGGATATTTTTCCTAACGGACAACCTTAAATCGGGATTGTCTGACTTACATGGGAATGTACATAACCTCGTGTTCGAGCTCCATTTGCAAGGGAGTCTGGACATTACTACTCTTATTTTTCTTAATTAATTTTAAGTTTTACACATTCATCATCTGATCAATATTAAATACATGTCGCGATCTCGTGAGTTATAATTTTGCTTTCGTGTCATGCTTATATAAACCTGCGTTGCGGTAAATACTTTTAATTTTAAAATGTATAACGCCTATAATTTGAAAAAATTAATTAGATTCTAAATTACGACTCGCAAAAATATTTAATATTTATTTTATTATTATATCTTTTTATATTTTATTAAATCATCAATTTATTATATTTATCTCATACTAAAATTGTCTCATACACGTTATTATATTAGCAAAATAACACTTATAGTATGACATCTCCTCTTGTCTTTAACTATTTAAATAATTTGAAATGGAAAGAATGTATTTTGTAATATAACAATTTAGCAATATTACATATTTTAGTCAAACGGTTTTTTCCTTTTTTTTAATTGGTCCATAGTCCTTTTTAAAATATATACTTTTTTTGTTAATATTATGAATATTACATATTTAAGTAGAAGGTTTTTTTAATTAGTCCACAATCCTTGTTTAGAATATATTCTTTGTTTTCTTTTTAAATTTTTTTTGTTAGTATTGATACATGTCACAATCTAAATTAACAATTACACATGTCATGATATCGTGGATAAGAATTTTGCTTGCGTGTCGTGTTCTCATCGTGTGCATCTTTTTTTATATAGTAAGATAAGATATATTAGTTTTGTTAAGTTTGTTTAGCTAGATATCTAAAAAAGGGTAGACTATTATAAAAAGAATATTAAAAAACAAAGTAAAACTAAATTATAAATAGTCATAACTTTGATCTATTTTAATATTTTATCTATAATTTGTTTTTTTTTTGTAATATTATTGAG